TGGTGGGGCAGGAGGACCCAGGGGGCCGCGGCCCGGCGGCTGCCCTGGGAGGTGCTGGGGGCCACTGTCTCAGGCCGCACTCGTGCCCGGGCTGGAGGGGCACGGGAAGGGCTGCGCTCCGCAGGCGGCTTTGAGGCCTCCAAGATGGAGGCAGCAGCTCACAGAGTTGTTATGGTTGGAAAAGACCTTTGAGATCGAGTCCAGCTGTAAACCCACCCCCTCCATACCTGCTCAACCATGTCCCCGAGTGCCTCATCTGCACGTTTCTTGAGCACTGCCAGAGACAGTGACTCTAGCATTCCCTGGGCAGCCTGTTCCAGTGCTTGACTACTCTTTCCATTTAGAATTTCTTCCTAATATCCAACCTGAACCTCCCTTGGCGCAACTTGAGGCCGTTTCCTCTTGCTCTACCTGTAGTTATTTTGGAGAAGAGATCGATCCCCGCCTCACTACAACCTCCTTTCAGGTAGTCGTAGAGAGCAGTGAGGTCTCCGCAGAGCCTGCTCTTCTCCACACTGAATAACCCCAGCTCCCTCAGCCACTCCTCATCAGATCTGTGCTCCAGCCCCTTCACCAGTTTCCCTGCCTTTCTCTGGACAACGAAATGTAGGAGCTGAGCTTCCCTCCTGGTCACATCCGGGGAGCAGGGAGCGTCCCTTAGCGCAACAGCTCCTGGAGGAAAAGTGGGAATCCAAGGCAAATGAAGACACAAGGAGCTGTTGAGGTTTGAGCCTTCAACCTGCCCGGGGCTGCTTGGAGGGCTGGGGGCGACGCGGGCGCAGGAACCTTCCCCTCCTTGAGCGCTCTGCGAAGGAAACAAGGATCCTGCAGGTGCCTGGGATTAGCTGAGTTGCTAAGGAAACAAGTCAACTGTTCAGGGGAGAGAGCATTGGATAAAGGAGATAAATCAATAAGAAAACCTATTTTTATCGGCTCCCTAATGATCCTACACGAGAAGCTAGACGAAGGAGGAGGAGAAGGCTGGAGAGAGACGGGCTTTCATTACCGACCTCGGAGGGAGGCAAGTGCCACTCTGCGTTTTGGGTGGCTGGAGGTCTGTGTAATTAGACACCGAGCAGGAGAGGAGACGAAGTAACGAAGTAACAGGGCATCTTCTGGCGGCCTCGAGGGAGGGCGAGTGTGCACCTTCCCCGCAGATAAGATTTCCCTCTGCATTTAGCTGTTTTCACCCAGCTTTACACCCAGACTGTCAAAATCAGGCCCTGGAACAGACTGGAGCCAGTTGCTGCTGGCTTGGAGCTCTCACATCACTTCAGGCACAGTGATCCCGGCTCAGGTCCTTGGAAAACTGGGCCAGCGGCCCATGGACGGTCACTTTGGACCCAGGTGACATTATGGGTCAGCTGTTTGAGCCAGGAGGCTGAGGATGAGTCAGTTTTGAGACCCCCAGCCCGCTCACAGGCAGGACTGTCCCCTTAACACCATGGGCTCCGCGTGCGGGAAGTTTGGATTTTCCCACTGGGATGTTGCTGCGCTTTGGAGGCTTCCGGAGGGAAGGAGGAGAATGGAGTAAACGCTGGGGAGCGGGGAGGGCTCAGCGGGACTTAGGGAAGGGGCCGGCAGCCTCTCTGTGTCCCCGCTTCCCGTGCAGGTGCGTGGGCGAAGCCCTCGGGGAAGGTGCCTCCGAGGCGCACGGCGTTCTCCACGCCGGGGGCGTCTGCTGCCGTCCCCGTGGTCCTGCCGCAGCGGGTGGCCGTGGCCATGCGCGCTTGCGGGCAGATCCGTGCCTGGCCTTGGGTTTTAGCCCCTGCGAATGAGCAGTGCCGAGCCCTGAACGTGCAGCAGGGAGCTCCGCGAGGGCCCCATGCACGGCGGAGCTCTGCCTTTCTATTTGGTTCTAATTTATCAACCATTAATTTCACTGAGTGGCCTTTTAAAGGCCTTGGCTCAGTTGCGCCTGGCTCTTCTCCCTACCGGGCTAAATAAATCCTCACTCCGTAGGCTTTGCTTTGGCTTCACCTCCTGGCCTGCTCTCCGGAGACCTGCTGCTCCGCTCCTACCTTGCCCCGATGGGCTCAGGGCCACGAGTCTTGATGCCTCTTGCTTTGGTCAGCAGCTTGGGTGGTCGATGCCTGAAGGTGAAGTAGTAAGAGACAAAATCCTCCTTGTCCCGGGGCAGTGCCCCAGGCTTGAGCGTCCAACACCTGCAGCTTGAGCAGCGACCAGCTTGGCATGGGGAAAGCTTGGAGCAGGTGGAATTTCCTTACTGTTGAATCCATCTCTGGCGGGATCCCGTTGCTTCACTAAGGGAATGAAGCTTGGGAAGGCTCCGTTCCCTCTTGTGGCTGCAGCTCACGCCAGCGGTGACAGCGAAGTATTAGTGATGTTCTGTCAGGGAGGGAAGGTGCTGCCTGGTGCTGACTGGCCTGATCTCACAGAGGCAATGGGGTTTTCAGTGCAGAGACTTGCTAGAGCAAGGTGGGAATCAGAAAGATGAAGCCGTCTTCTGACTTGAAAGTGCTTCGTTTCCGCTGCTGGGCAGCAGGCCAGGCCACACAGGCTCTGTGTCCGCAGAGGCCTGAGGGAGCTGCCTTGGGGGCCTTTCCCTCTGTTCCTAGGCTGCTAATACCCATTGTCCCTTGTCCTGCTCCGCTCCGGAGGAGGGGCCGCAGGGCTCGGGACCCCCCCAAGGGTCGCACGGAGCCCTGCTGCTGCTCGGCTTTCTTAGGCCCGGCCTGGTCAAAGCTCGAGCAGTGTGTGGGGATGAAGGCCCCGGGGCTTTGATGCTCTTGGTTCTCCCTCGTCCTCGCGGGGCCGGAGGGTCCGCTCGCCGCCCCCGCACGCAGGACGGTGACCAGGTGAAGCAAGGGGAAGAGGGCGGCTGGCGGATCGGGTTGTGCTCCAGCCTCAGCCATTCCTTAACTCCCCCTCCACTCCTTTCGAGTACATGATCCTGGCAACCATCATTGCCAACTGCATCGTACTGGCGCTCGAGCAACACCTTCCCGAGGACGACAAGACCCCCATGTCACGGAGATTAGTAAGTACCCTTCTGTTTTCTCCTCTCTGCATGTGCCTGTGCCAGGGTCCCCGGGGGCGAGCGCAGGACGGGCCGAGGCGGGAGAGCCCTTCTGAACAGGCTGATTTCCGTCCATCCCATGTAGGCTGGTGAAGGCTCTGTCGGTTTTTGCCACAGCAAATGGCAGGTGTGGTTTTCCTGTCCCTCTTCCCCCTGCTCACCATGTTGCTGGCTCCTTTTCGGCAGGAGAAGACGGAGCCGTACTTCATCGGCATCTTTTGCTTCGAGGCTGGGATTAAGATTGTCGCCCTTGGGTTCGTTTTCCACAAGGGCTCGTACCTGCGCAACGGCTGGAACGTCATGGACTTCATCGTGGTCCTCAGCGGGTGAGTCTGGTGGCTCAGGGCGCTGGGGAGCTGGGCAGTTGGGCACAGGGCTCATCCCTGTGGGAAGAGGAGCTCTGGGAACTGGAGCAAGGCCCCATTTGGTGATTTTTGGTGGAGTTTCCACATTGCAGCGAGGGGAGGGAGGATGGTTGCCCTCGCTCGAGGGCTGCAGGTCAGTTTTGCTCGTAGTTGCAGGAGGGCAGGCGGCCTGTGCCGGGGCACCTCACTCCACCAGGCAAAGAGGGTTGGTCTGAAGACATCAGGTCCGTCTCTCCTGAGCTGGTGGTCTGGTGCCCCATTGGAGATGGGGGTGACGAGTGAGAGGAGGCAGACAAGAGGGCACGGCCTGGGGAGTAAGTTGGTCTGAGAAAGGTGTTGGCCGAACAGGGAGCGGGGGGAAAGGTCTCCTGCTGCCCCGCCGCTGCTTTCCTAGCCGGGTGCCAGGGCTGGGTAATGAGGTCTTGGTGGAGACGTGTTCCCAGGTGCTGCTCGCTCAGCAGCCCCGCGGCTGACAGCGATATCTGAGGTGGCAGCATGCGAAGTTTCACAGGTGCTGGAGCCGTCTCCTGCCAGGGACGATGTGACCCAGATTTGAGCCCTGTCTAAGGTGTGATGAAGTGGCACAGTGGGTAGATTTGCTGGGTTTGTGCTTGAAGGAATTGGCTTCTAGGGGTGACCCACCGTGAGCTGTTGTGTGGAGCAGGGGGTGTCTGTAGTCACCAGGAGCCCTGCGGAGGGAACACCTGGATTCCAGCCTCTGGCTTTTGTCTGCTGATGGAAATGCCACGTTCAGGGCAGCCAATTCGAGATGTGCAAACAGATGGTGCTTGTCAGCCGTGGATCTCTGAGCGCCTCAGGAGTTTTGGCTAACAAAGGGCAGACTAGGAAACTGAGGCATGAGAGCAAGGTGAGCTCTGCTGGTGTCTCCCGAGCAGGAATCACAGCTTGCCTCACAGTCCTGTCCCCTGGTTTGGATCCTTCCCCTGCGTGGTGGCACCGTGGGGGAGATGGTGCCTGTCGGGTGCTGTGCAGAGGAAGGCTGATGCTGAGCCTGGTGCTGCTGAGGATGTGATGGCCGTTTCTTTTCAACAGTGGAGAGGTGTAGATTGGGCTTCTGCTTGGGAGAAGGTGGCTGGGAATGTCCCTTGCTCCGACATGGCCTCGCTGCGGAGTGGCACCCCCTCTGCCCCTGCGGGTGGGCAGCAGGCAGCCCCGGCACTGCTGGTGGA